GACATCTAGGCAAAAGAAAAAATAAATATTGAATCTATAAGCAGGAACGACAAAGACAGGTTCTCATTATTCACATACAGCTTTAAGAAATTCTCTTTCCCGAACGTACTTTGACTCACGTATAGTTGTTGCATACGTTGACCTGCAAAAGGATTACTATTAGTAGAAGAAAGCCTGAGATAAAAAGAAGATATTCACTAGCGTAAATCCAAGATACAGGTTGAACATATCAGTCCATACATTCACAGATAAGCTAGATGAGCAAACAACAATAAAGATCTTTAGAAAACACAGATTCACATTCCGTACTCTGTTATAACGAGGTCCAAATCTAGTCGATCAACTTGAGCTGCTCCAAGATGTCTATCTGGTGTCATATTGTAGTCTCCTGTGTACAATATAGCACTATCTCCCGCCTTTGCATAAAACAATGCAGCTCCAAGAACCTTTGGAACATAACAAACATTTAGGACCCAAAGAACTTCAATTATGAAATAATAGTCATTTCCAAGTGGGGATGGGCAATGCTGATTGAGAGAAATGGGTTCTCAAATCACTGATACAAAATGCATATTTGGCTTACTACATAATGGATAATGGCTAAGGGACGAATTTCTGACATGGCAATTGTAGGACAATGGACAAAGTGTTATCCGTGAAGGAGGAGATGAAAACAATGTTCCTTCATCTATATGTCTAATTTATATTACATAGGATAATTGTCAAATATGCAGTGGCACCAACTTTTAGGCTATCAGGCATGCTTTATAAGTTATTAGTTCACCAGTTTAAGTGAACAGGCAAGATTTCTTGCATGCGACAATATCAAATTGAATGTCCCGAGAAATTCAGCAAGTCCTTAGCATAAAAAACTACAAATTTCAAATAGGAGTGAAAATGGCAATGAGAAAGAGCCAATACTCATTTGTGTCACTTTGTGAATAACATGGTTTACAAGACTTACATGTCCTGCATAATATGCACGGATTTGAAGATCTTTATCAACCTGAATAGTCTGCTTTAGATCAACTGCTATAACTGCAATAGGAACCCAATTAAAGCATCAAAAACAAGGGAATAGAAAAATATTTGCTGACAAAAATAAGTAGAGGGCGGGTCCTGACAAGGGCAAACCCCTAGTTTAACTTTGCTAATAATTCCTAGAGTTTTTGACCTTTAAACATAGCTGGTAGGCGGTTCTTGACAAAACCAAACTAGGAAGTGACTCTCCATCAGCCAAATTGGTGACTCGCTTTATACAGGCTAAAAAAGAAAATTGACTATCCAATCCCAACCCATTGCATTGAATACGATGGAGAAGAGTTGCATCAACTTCATATACCTTTTTTCATGCATTGCATTATGTGATCAGAAGTAAATTGTTCCTCCTCACCCCTTCGTTCAACCAATACTTTCCTATAATCCTCCAACATAAGTGGAGCCAATGCCTTGGTTGGATACTGCACCATAAATCATTCTCACAAAAAGCCAATGAGTAAAGAAAGAAAATTTCAAGCATTTTATTAAAAATAAAATACAATTAAAAAAATGGATTAAGGAGCATCTCAGCACCATATACTTAAAACTTAGTATGTTTTATCTACCACTCTCAAGGGCATGCCACATTGGCAAAAAGAAGAATTTTAAAGTTTCAGTAAAGAACACATATCCCAGCAAATCCACAAAGTAACATAATAGAGTGTTTGTAGTAAAATTAGAACTA